CCCCGACCCAAGACCCCTGTTACGCGCGCTTATAAGTGGGCCCCCCTCCCCACTTTGAAAAACGTTCCGCCGGCCCTGTATATGTAAATACCTGAATGAGGAAACTGTATTTTTAAAACATATTTAAGCAATTAACGGGCACATATTGTTTCGATAGTTAAAAATTTCTTCAAATTGTTCGGGGTATTTTGTATCCAAGGGTAATCACTTTATGAACACGTTTTTTTTCATACATTTACTTGACTGTAAATATAATATTACGGCTTTAATAAAAGTTGCATAAGTTGGTGGTTACGTGTTTGCCTTCTATTCCTAGGTCTTGGGTTTAAATCCTGTTACAGTAGGAATTTTTTATTTTCACGACTAGAACTCCTGCTCCCTAAACGTCATAAAGAGAATTGAAGCCTACGAAATTTTCTGTTGTTGGACTTATAAATCATATTGGCTAATTTTCATGGTCCTTTAAAACCTTGGTATTTTAATAGATCGTGACCTAAATTAGGGTCGCCAAGATATTTTGCAGTATCACCGGACGTTTATAGAGAGATAAAAAGAATCCATTGACAGTACTAGCATGGCGTTCTCATTAATAGGCCTTATTTTATAACTTTGTCATGTTTTTGCATTGGCAGAATTATTATCGGTGATTAGTATCATCATCATGGGCATTCTAGTTTTCAGCGAGCTCCATCATTGTTGAATACTATACAATTAATATGTTCAAGGTAAGCTTTACCTCATTAACAATAACCTGTGCGCCATAAAGTGCTGTTTACTAATATAGTGCGGTCAATCTGTGAATTGACCCAGAACTAACTGCAAAAGGAATATTTCTTTTTGCGGAATCTGTTCCAAAAATATATATAGGTCTATAATAAAGTCCAAAAAAATCTAATTAGAGGAAATTGGTTAATTTCTAAGAGATGAGTATAACATTTAATGCTGTTTTGTGTACGCCCATTAGTTCATGTCCATTCTCTAGACTTAAAAAAAACAAATAAACTATAATATAGCAGATAACAAAAAAACGATGTAGCAGTAAAACCTGGCAAAAATATTGTAAATAGAAAAAAGAAAGGAATTTAATCAGGGGGAATTGGTTAATTTCTAAGAGATGAGTATAACATTTAATGCTGTTTTGTGTCCATTAGTTCATGTCCATTCTCTAGGCTTAAACAAACAAATAAACTATAATATAGCAGATTATTCTTTATTTTTTCAAAATTTACAAATCGTGGCAAGGTGCCGAATGTAGTGTAAAATAACAAACGAGGGATATTAAAAAACATCTAAAAATGGTTTAAACAGAGAAAGCAAAAAGCTCTGTGAGATTCTTTGGCCCCCAACGTTTCTGTTTCTGTCCTTTGAAGCTTTCCAAAAAAAGTGCTAGGAGTCGTAGGGGCCCCGATGGCTTCATCGAGGCCCATTAGTACTGGGCATTGTACAATGGCACCAGAAACACAGCCGCTATGTCGCTCATCAAGGCTCTGATAGTTAAGTTCTATGTATTACCAGTGGCCCCAGGGTGTCTTTGGATTGGGGATCCGGAGGACTGCGCCACCCACCCCCTCCAAATACCGCAAGAGCTTTTAATGCAATAAAATCTGGAAAATTTGTTACCGGAAAGCTCTCTCAGGCTGGGACCCTGCCCCTGGTCCCCCACTGTCGCTACCCCTGCATCAAAATGATTAAACTCTTGAATATTAATGAGTATTCTTACACTGACCTGAAGAGCCTTAACAGAATACACACTTATATTATAGACCTACAATAAGAGCTCAATCACCAAGCGCATTAAGGATTCTTTTTGCATGAAATACAACTATTATAATTAGAATGTAAAATACTACATTTCTTTCTATAACTCTCTATTATATATTTTACACTTTTTTGTTGGATTAATAATATAAGTACTTCTAGGAAGTCGTAAAATAAACGATTTACGGTCTTTTAAAAATGTTATTCTTGGAACCGCATATCAAATTTACTTTTTAATAGCATGGACAACAATAACTTCCATTTTGATGTGTCTGTGTCCTCCATGATTGACGGGAAAGTTTTGGTTACTCCAGTCTGTTGCATCTTGAAGAAACTCTGTGTGGTATTGTTGTGGCAAATACTGCAGCTGTCCAAGGAGTGTACGCAGGTATTCTAAAAATATGCAACAAGATTAATTCATCATTACCCGCATCATTAATGCTTTCAGAATTTTTTTAATTCGTACTACCGTCGGCCGACGAGTCTGTGAGCGCTTGACGACGCACAACGCCGTCTGTTATAGTCATATTTAAGAATATTATTATTATTATTATTATATAAAAAAATATATTGAAAATATAATTATATAAAATATATTTTGTAATTAAGTAGCCTATTTTTGTATGCTTGTTGATTTCTTTTGTTTACAGCAAATGTAACTTGGAAGTTTCCTTATTTAATGAGAAAAATATCTGTAAATTTAGATTTAATAATAGTTCTATATTTATTTTGTATTTTCAGGACCCTTAATTATAAGCAGTGATGCTACTGATCTTACTCAGCGTTGCACTCTTTAAAGAAAGACATAAAATATGAATAGGGTAACTTATCTACAGTTAGCGTACCGCTCAGTTCTTCCTTACTGAAGATGTCGAGATTTTCACATGGCTTATATGACTTTTTTTCGAGTACTTCAAAACCAACAGATTCAAATAGTTTCTGGGTGTCATCCAGATTCAAATGATTGTACATTTTATGAACGTATCCCTACAAAGTAGAAAAGGTGATGGAAGATGAATCATTTACAAAGAGTAACAGGTGGAGTAACAGGTGGAACATAAGTTTATTTACATTTAGATGGTAATAACAAGTTTGCAAACCTCAAGTTTTTTTTTCCATTTAGTGTGATTCTTCAAATAATAGGGAAGTTCATCAGGACTATTGCCTAGCATTTGATGTATCGGTCCGCAAAATATGATGAAACACTCCCCACCAATTTTCAGAGAATCGTAGATGTTACGAACTGCTCCAACTTTATCCTGTATCCAGTGCAATGCATGTACTGAAACAACTTTGTTAAATGTAGCCTTCCACATAGGAAAGTGTTCGATGGAATTTTTACCGTCTGCAACTTCATACATTATGTTCGCGCTTTTATGTTTTTGTCTGGCAACTTCGATCATATCATTTGAAATTTCAATACCTTAACGGAAGGAGAAAATGAGAATAATAAAAAATTATTAATATCATTATCATTATTACTCAGTCGTGTAAGTTTGAGTGTGTCACGTTTCCGTATTTTCGTGTGTGTGTTTGTGTGTGTTCA